ATAATAAAGATAAAGAGCATTCAACAGCCCCTACCAGTCAGTTGACTGGCTCATGAGCTATTCTCTTTCCCGCTACTGCCCGCCCCCTCTTCCTGGTTAAATACACCCAACTGACCCTCATACCCACATTCCAAATGCCCCTTTCTGGATGTTGATCAAAATGCTTCCATCCATGAAATCCACACTTTCCTTTCAAAGTAGAAGCTAGCGATTACTCCTGGAAGCCCCGCTCTTCTTCCCGATGCAGCAAGACAAAGACGAGTATCCACCCCCTGCCGTGGCTCACTCCCCTTACCCCCCCCCCACAGTTGCTGAGAACCCCAAGTGTCAGTGTCTGCACCCTCCGAGGGCCCTCTGGCAACCTGAGCTTAGGGAACACATGGGTCCGAATCCTTTCCCACGTGTGATCCAAGTTCCCGATGCTGAAGGGAGAATCAGAAACAGTAGCAGCAAGCATTTATGGAGCCCTGACCGGGTCAGGACCTGGGCCCGGGGTTGGGGGGGCGGGGGCGTACAGAGGGTGTCCAGCATGTTGCCATCAACCAGTAATAGCTCTCAGGTGCTCCCTGTCAGCCCGGCCCCTGCCAGATCCAGGCAGCTCAGAGCTGGATGAATGAGTGATGAGACCCCGAGGACTCCTTGGAGGTCAACGGCTAGATTAGGCTGGAGACACTCCAGGGCCACAGCCTTTATACGGGAGAGCACCAGACAGCCGGGCTTTCGTTCAAAACTACCACCTCCCCCTTCCCCAGAGAGAAAAAAAGATCACGAATGCACAACAGTTGTCAGTTGAAGGAGTGTTTATGAGCAAGGCCCGGGCATATTTTAAAGCAGAAGCAAACCAAAAATGTTAAACAAAATACCAAAAGCTGCATTAGCTTCGGGTTGAGTTCGGTGGGGGAGATTCTGTCCATTAGCAAAGGCCTCCATCCCGGGCTCCTTGACTACTAACAGCCTGAGTCTTTTATAGACCGAAAGACGACCCCTGATGCAAACCGCCGGGGCTCGTTGCAAAAATGTTCCCAGGCAGATAGAGCCGGGAGAGCCCCCGCCAACCGTCCCATCTCCGCTTCTCATGAAAGATTGAACAGCTTTACACACGGGCTGTTTACTCAGAAGACAATTTAAGAGCAAGGCCATTAATAGCTCTCTCGCTGCACTTTGAGATAAAGGCACATCCCTGCTGATTAATTGTAGGTGCCTCTCGCTTAGGGAGGAGGCCGGGCATCCCTGTGGCTGCCCGCATGCAGGGTTGGAAGTCAGGGAGTCTGGCCCAGCTAAGAGAGAGGGAAATCAGTCAGGAAGGTAGCCTGTCTCTGGTTAATCCCAGCTTCTAATCTGAACCACCTAATCCGGCCCCAAAGAACTCCAAGACAGCAGGGCTATGATTGAGTGAGCTGTGAGCGGACTCAGAGAACAGCCCTAGGTTGCAGGCACCTCCGGAGCCTGAGAACCTTCTTGCTTTGAGAGAATCAGTCTTTATATCTGAAAAATGTCAACCCCTGGGAATGCCCAGGCCGGTTCAGAATGTCTCGTGGAGCTAGCAGAGCTTTGGCGGAGTCCTCACAAATTGGATGGGATATGGTTTTGCTCTTCAGGAATTTCCCAGAAGCTCCCATTCCAGCCTGAATCATGTCTGCATTGGGCCCCAAGTCCCAGCCCTGCAGAACAGGAAGCCATGACCCAAGTGGAACGGGAAAGGAAACCGAGTTCTCCTTCCTGCTTACAGGCATAGGATTTGATTTTGTACTTTGAATGTAAAAGGATGCTGTATCTCCAACACTTCCATCTGCAGAGTTTATCTCAATGTTTCCGTCAAGAGTTAAAGAAGTGGGTGTTTGAAAGGCCCACCCACCCACACGGCAAGGGCGTGGCCCCCACGGGAAGGGGCAGTGTGATCAGCACACCCAGGTTCACGGCAGGTCAGCAGGAGGGAGAGGACTTGCTTTCCCATCACTGGGGCGACCTTTCCATTGATTTCTCTGGCTGCAGAGGGGTCATCTCTGGGGAAGTACAGCCACCACCTTCGTTTACGTGTACGACTTGCCTTGATAGTAAGAAGGGTGGCATTCCGGGGCAGCCTTACGCTCGCCTCTCCCGGGAGGTTCTGGATTTTTTTAAAAAACTATTTGTCCCCCGAGATGATGCTGACTTTTAGCTTCCCTGCTCAAAAGTAAAGTGAGCCCTCCAGAGGCTGTATGGACTGCTTTCTATCCATCGTTTGCCCTCACTGGGCATCTATTTCACATGCCTGTTAATAGCACCAGCTACCACGTATCGAGCACATACAACGTGCCTGGAGCTACGATGAGGCACCATTTCCCTGCCCGTTCCCTGAGGTCACCCAGCTAGGAGTGGCTGCAGGCTGTGTCCATCCCATCCTTGCTCCGGATCTAACGTGCTCGGTGGCAGAGTTTTCTGTATGTAACTTTCTTCCACATCGGTAACCTCAGGGTGGACACAAGAGCCGAAAGTTGCTGTTGGGTCTGTTTGCTTTTTCAATCAAGCATCTGTGCCCATGTTAGCAAAGCAGCTATACAGGGCACAGCCCTCCAGCCACCCACTTCCTTAAACACTCTGAAAGGCCCTGCCCAGGCTGTATTGATGGATAAAATCTCCCTCCTCAGTTCAACCCCAGTGCAGCTTTGGGCATTTTGTTGGAAGCTCTGTCTTGGGGCCTAAAAGCGAAACTGCTTGTGGACATTATTGCCAAACTCCTCCATTCGCTCTTAAGCAGACCAGCACCTGGCAGTCAGCATCTTATTGCCCCCCGGGGGGAAGGAGGAGGGCGCTCTGGATTGACATCCCTCCTTCGGCCCCCTCACCTAGGATGCTGTGAAGGGCCAGCCCCACCTTCACAGGCCTGTGTCCCCGCTGGAGTTCGGGGCAGCGTATGGCTTTCTGGAAGCACAGCCTGCCATCAGACCCCCGGCCCCTTCCCGGCTCTGTAACCCCAGCCCCAGGTTGCTTTTCCTCACGAAGCCGAGCTATTTTATCCGCCAGCGAAAGGCTCCAGGGAAGGCTCCGGTGTTTGGACGCGATCAGGAAGCCATCGCTGCTGCTCTGAGTTCCAGCTCCAGGAGGCTGTACGGTCCACGTTCCATCCAGCCCTGGGCCCTCTGGGAAGTGGAGAGACATTCTTTTTTTTGGTCCTCCGGACGCGATCAGGAAGCCATCGCTGCTGCTCTGAGTTCCAGCTCCAGGAGGCTGTATGGTCCACGTTCCATCCGGCCCTGGGCCCTCTGGGAAGTGGAGAGACATTCTTTTTTTTCTTTTTTTTTTATCCTCACCAAAGGATATTTTTTCCACAGATTTTCAGACAGAGTGGAAGGGAGGGATGAGGGGAAGAGAGGGAGAGAAATATTGACATGAGAGAGACACATCGATTGGTCGCCTCCCCCATGTGCCCTGACTGGGACTGGGGATCAAACCCCCAACCAAGGTATGTGCCCTTGACTCAGAATTGACGCCACAGCGCCTTGGTCCATGGGCCGATGCTGTAACCACTGAGCAAACCAGCCAGGGCAAGAAATATCGTTGAGTTGCCGTGGGATCTCTGCAGTAGAAATTGGCGTCCTGGCCAACCAGTGCCTGCTAGATAGGTGTCGGGAAAGATAAGAATGCCTTAATCGGGGTTTGGCAAGCCCAGCAGGACAGCTGAGCTTCTGGCCACAGCTGTGCTCAGCGCTCTGCGGGAAGGAGCAGCTGTAGGTGGCCCTCTGCCTCCCGGGAAGACAGAGCTTTGCGGGTACACGGAGCACAGTTACGCTCAAGGTCAGCCTGGGCGGGGATTTGTCTCTCAAAGGAACTCAGCTCCAGGAGCCATAGAAAGTCACTTCCTTTCACAACCCGTGGCCTTCCGCATACTCCACGCCCCACGGACAGAGCTGGTGTTGCAATCCCAAAGCCACTGGGAGCCCGATTGTGATCCCTCCATACGGGGACTCACCCCTCTCTGCCCGGTCACTGACTGTGATAACTTATTTGCTTGCCTGTGTCTTTCAGATTTCAAATCCAACTTCAGAGCCGCCCCGATCCGCTCCGTGGATGTCTACAACGTCATGTGCCACGCGGCAGGCATCGCCCCGCTGCCCAATAACGGGTCCTGGTCCCGGGTGATGTGCATGCTGAAGAGCCCGGCCAGCGCGGCCCCGCGGCACTTGTCCGGGGGTTTGGCCCTGGCCTTGACTCTGCTCTTGCTCCTTCAGTAGCTGCTCCTTTGTGTCCCAAACACTCAGACAAGGGGGCCTTCACGGGGGGAAGGTTTTATGTCCTAGTTGAATAATAGCTTCTTTAACACAATCAAGGCCACACACATTGAAAATATTTTATTCTTGGATGATTCTATACATAAAAATCCCTACTTCTTAAAAACAAATATCTGAACTTTATTTTTTTTTCTGAAGATAAGGAAAATCTTGCTCTTAACTTGTTCGACTGTATGTCAGCGTGTCCTTTCTTTTTCATTTGGAAATGCAGATGAACTGTCTGAGCAAGGGCCTGTCCCTAGCAAACAGCCTCTGAGAGAATATTGTGTGAGAGTCCTGGACCCCACTCTGTCCCGCTCTGCACAGAGCAGCCCCTCGCCTGTGCCCCGTGCACACCCAGGAGCCCGCCTGGGGTTCTATGGCCACAAGTCCTGGACTGTGCCTTCCTTCCCAGAGAAAGGAGGCTCCCCAGGACAGCTGTGGCTGCCATCTGCTCCTGCCCCAGCTCATGGAGTTTTTCCTTCTTCTACAAAAACCCCGAAAGGGTGTTATCTTAGCTTGGGCCACCCATCAATCAAAATCACGAAGGATTGGAGAACTCAGAATAAGGCGGCAGGCATGACTTCCCTCCCAAAGTCGGGATGCACAAAGATGTCCCCCTCGCCTTGAGGAGCAGAAGGGCTTAGCGTAGATCGGGGCTTCTGTGTGACTTCTCACGGGGCATCACGGCCCGAGGCCCCGCCCGTAGCAGCCCCTGGGTGCTGTGGGGGGATGGATGGATGGCCCGACACCTGCCAGGGTGAAGGCCTTCTCAGACTACACTCTTTGGATCACCACACACAACATAGACTATAGCAACACCCGACACACATTACAGCTGGGAAAGATATCTGGCTGATGAGCGAGGGGACACATTTGCAGAAATCTCAGTTCATTGCTTGGAATGATGGTGCATTAAGCATAAGATTTATGCGTCGGTGTGCTGGAGCTTTGCTTGTTAAACAACAACAGCAAAGTGGATCCCTGAGTGACCCAGAATTCCAAGGAAAATCGGGGCGGGGTGGGGGGAGAGAACCTGATGGAATCAAATCCCCGTCACTCACCAAAAGGCCATTTGTTAGGAAAGTGGTGAAACCGCCACCTGCGAGACCTGAGGTCTTAAAGCCCGCGAGACCTGAGGTCTTAGAGCCCCTGAGATGAGCCGTTGAACCTGGCTGAAATGTTTTCAGTTAATCATCGAGCCGGGTGCAGGGGATCTTGCACAAACAAGGGACAACTGCATCTTTAAGTGATCGGAGTCATAGACACACGTCGTGGCATTAAAAATGACTTTGCATTAAGCGAGGTGGATCTGCTGGTGCAACTTTCGTGTCAGGAAAACAACCTCGGGTCTCCTCTGGACGATGAAGCCCTTCCAGGCTGCTGATCTCAATGCTCACCCTGACTCCAGCAGGTGAAGCCAGCCGCCTCTGTGCCTTGAGTCATGGGAGCAGAGGTCCCTGCTCCAAAACGTCTACTTCCTCTCCCCACAAGCTTTCTAAGGGCTTACGTAACGTGTTTTTAGAATGCAGCGTCGGATCCAAGGGAACGCAGGCAAACCAGCCTTTGTCTGGCTGAAAGCAAATCAGTGCTCTCAACACTGAAGTGCACGCCTCTTGTTCCAGGTTCCCTCTCTCCTTAAAGGACGGAGCTCTGATGAATACCGCCTGGCCCACCTTCCTGTGAAGCAAGGATCCTGAAAAGTGGGTCATCAAATGAAGAGGGGTCTACACATGTATACCGTCTTGCATTTGTCTTTCATGCTCTATTCTACCCCCCCACCCTCGCCACACACACACTCATGCCTAAAACCTTCAAGTTACGTAATCAGATTTCAGATAGTTGGCTGACAAAGTGTAGTTACTCAGTAAATACTCTGAGAATAAGGAACTTTTGGAATCATGACTATTGGTAACTAATTAAGAGAATTCAGCCCCTAAATGGAGAAAAAACTTTGTGCCTAAAAGAATGCATGCATTTTAGTGGCTAGATTCTTTGGCTAAAGTTCCCCCTCCCCCACCCCCCGCCCTTTAATTTTTGTTTTAAAGGTATATTCTTTCCCCCAGGAAAATTTTACTTTCTCTAAATGGTTTTGTTCCCCAGAAGTAAAATCTGTGAGGACTACAAATAGACAACCTTTTCTGGATTATTTTACTACTCCGTGGCTAATTCCAGGAGGATGAGAACGACAATTGGATTGCCCTGCCAATAACAAAGATAAAGGGAAGGAAGATCCTTAAATCGAAGAGATGAATGGCCACTTTCCCTGTATATATGCACCATCTCCAGAACCCAATCCAATTACGTTCTGAAGATGTAAGCATAAGTTAGAATAGGCCCAAAGAATTCTTTCTCACCTTGAAGAGTTCTGAATGATAAAGTTCCAGCTCTCTTTACTCTTAAAGTGATCTTGGAAATCCATGTCAGATCCGAGTTCAGACCCAGCCACCAGTTTGCTTATGTGCTGGGATTGTAAGCATCCCCTGACCCACCCTCAGAGACGCAGGCTGGCAGGACCTGGGTGGGGCCCCACGTGTGTTGACACTGCAGTCACACTGATGGAAGGTCTGGGTTTGCTCTCAGCAGAAATGGTGCTGAAATGACCCTGGTAGACCTGAGTCTCCCGACAGTCCTTCATAACCCACCCGTTTCTCCTGGGGCCTCCAGCCCTCCTTAAACCAAAGCGGATCTGTTCACCCCGGTGAGGGAGAGAGGAGCCGAAAAGGCAGCGTGGGCCTCCCCACACCCCCTCCTCCCTGTGGGTCTACGCTTCCCAGCGGTGCTATCAGACCAACTCTTGTTCAAGACACAACTATTTTATGGATTTTCTAAGTGGTTTGCATTTCTGTAAATATCAGGGGATTTCCAAATACGATTGCATGTTTACTCTTTTTAAGCAATTCGTGACAGACCAAGTCAGCGCGGGAGGGTGGGCGTAGTCTTGGGTTATAAACTATAAACATGGGGTCTCAGGTACCAGGTACGTGCCATGAAACTACACTTCTGTGTTGCTTTGAAAATAGCATTGAGTGCAGAGTGCAGTGCCTCAAATGTTTAATAAATGTCCCATAAATATGTGTTGAATGAGGAAAAGAATAAATGTCATTAAAATGATTTGCTTACACCTCAGATATTCTCTGTCTTTAGTACCTCACATAAAATAAACTTTTCACTTTGGGCTTGCTTCCTTATCACCCAACCGGTAATTATACTTCATTCCATAAACAACTAGACATCCAGCCCAGCCTTACACATTTGACAGAAAGAAGGAAGGAAAGAGGGAAGGGGAGAGGAAAGAAGGAAGAAAATTAGGTTTTAAATATACGGAGCGTATTTACTTTTAAAAAATGTAACAGCTTTATCGAGATTAAAGAATGGAAGGAACGAAGGAAGGGGAGAGGGAAGAAGGAAAGAAGGAAGAAAACTAGGTTTTAAATATACGGAGCATATTTACTTTTAAAAAATGTAACAGCTTTATCGAGATTTAATTCACATGCCGTAAAAAACTCCCAGTTAGCGTGCTCATAGGACTCTGTAGCCATCACCACCATCAGTTCAGAACCTTTTTATCAGCCTCAAAGCAACGCCCTGTCCATTCGCTGTCACTCCCATCTCCTCCCACCCCCACCCCGGCAACCACTCAACTCAGCTCTGTGCTAACAGATTTGCCTCTTCGGGATCTTTCATAAAAATGGAACCATGCAATCTGGTCCTTTGTGGCTGGCGTCTTTCACACAGCATAATGTCTTCAGGGTTTAGCATGAATCATTATTCTTTTTATTTCCAAATACTATCCCGTTGTGCAGATATCCTGCATTTTATTTATCTGTTCACTAGTTGATGGGCACACCTTTTTGGATATTATGAGTACTGCTGCTCTGGACATTAATGGGTGAGTTTTTGTGGGTATATGCTTTCGTTTCTCTTGGGAATATGCCTGGAGTGGAATGGCTGGGTCTCATGGTATCTCTATGCTAAACTTTTGAGGAACTTGTCAGACTGTTTTCCAAATTGGCTGCACCCTTTTGGAATTTACCAGCAGGCGTCCGGCTTTTGCACATCCTCCCCCACACTTGTTATTTTTTAAATTACAGCCATTCTGGTAGGTGTGACATGATCTCTCATGGTGGTTTTCATTTGCGTTTCCCTAATGACCAATGATACTGAGTATCTCTTTTGAAATTTACCAGCAGGCTTCTGGATTTTGCACATCCTCACCCACACTTGTAATTTTTAAATTACAGCCATCCTGGTAGGTGTGACATGATCTCTCATGGCGGTTTTCATTTGCGTTTCCCTAATGACCAATGATACTGAGTATCTTCATGTGTCTATCGGCCATTTGTCTATCTTTGCTGGAGAAATGTCTATGCAAGTCCTTTGTCCACATTTTTTACTTGAATGCCTGTCTGTTTTTACTAAGTTGTAACCGTTCTTTATATGTTCTGATACAAGTCCTCCAGAGACATGATTTGCCAATCCCTCTCTTCTCATCGCGGGTCCTGCACCTGGAAGTGCTCCGCAGCCAATAGGAAGGGAGGTGACTGGTGCAGCAAGTCGGAAGGTGCAAAGACCAACCCCCAGGAGTTTCAGATGCTGGATGCTGAATGCCTGCGAGGGCCTTTCTTTCCTGAGGCACCCAGCACACTCCCTGGGCCAGGGCAAGCTCTTAGGAGCATCACTGTGGTGGTTCCAGGGTCTCCAAGGTGACTTAGGAGAACCCGGCATGGCCTGGTCCACATGAGGCCACATGGGACCACCCATCATCTGGTCCTTGGAAAGGAGCCCCACACAGCTCACTTCCCTGTGGTCCGCCTCCAGCCTCGCCCTCCCCCCGCCTCCAGCACTGTGGCTGCCCTGGTCTCCCTGTTGAGCTCAGGTGCAGGGCACTCCAAATTGGGTTTCACATTTTTTGCCGGAAGCCCTCATAAATAAGGCATAATTCTGTGAACTAAGGTTCTCCCAATTATGAGTCTTATTTAACTCTAAGCAAAAGAATGATTCATTTTCTTTCCTCTTAAAGGAAAGAAATCTGTCATGTAATTGCCAACAGTTTGTTATAGTCTCGTCAAGTTGAAAACACAGTCAAATAAGTTTAATTGGATCAGGTCAGAGCCCAGGTCTGGCTTATTCATCTCTGTGTATCCAGATCCTGGAACAGAGCTGGGCACAGAGTAGGCCCTCAAATACTTGAGAAATGGATGCTAATGTTTTGAAAGAGCATGCTGACTGTGTGATACAATTATCTGACGTCAGGGAGCTGCCTCTGGGACACCCTGCCCATGTGGAATGAGTCCCTCCAGAGAAGGCTCAGACTGACAGGGACGAAAGAATAGCACACGCCACACCCTTTGTAGGGGTTGAATTGTTCCTCCCAAAAAGATATGTCCAAGTCCTGGTCCCTGGTCCCTATGAATGGGACCTTGTTTGGAAACTGGGTTTCGCAGATGTAATCAAGTAAAGGTGAGGTCATGCTGTACTAGGGTAGACCCTGCGCCAATGACTGGCGTCCTTATAAGGAGAGGGACATTTGACCCGGAAACACAGGGAAGCAGGTGATGGAGGCAGAGCTGGGAGTGATGCATCTGTAAGGATCAGTGGCACCACCAGGAGCTGGAAGAGGCAAGGGGGAGCCTCCCCACAGCCTTCGGAGGGAGCATGGCCCTGCTGACACCTTGCTTTCAGAATCCTAGCTTCCAGGATGGTGAGAACACACCTTTCTGTTGCTTTAAGCTACCCAGTTTGCGGAAATTTGCTAGAGCAGCCACAGGAAACGAATACACTCTTCCAGTTGCTTTCGGAGCCAGTCTCGTTCAGCCACGATGGCTTGAGCTCCTCCTCCATACCAGGTGCTGTACCATGTTTGGGGAATATAGAGAAAGGAAGACACTGTACCTCCTCACAGAACTCACAAGGCGCTCATTCCATTTCTTCCATTTATGAGCAGAACTGAATTCTCATTTCTGTGCAATGAAATGTTCTGGTTGCTCCAGGCAATGCCTGGAGAGTTTCAGAAAACAGGAGCCGCACAATGAGAGAGGGCGCCCCCTAGAGCAGAGGAGCTGGAGGCAGAAGCTCACCGGCTTGTGCTTCTGATGGCACCTCGTCCACCGCCCACCGCCTCCTTTGGGATCTTGCTCTTGGCCATTGGATGTCCGCCCTCCACTCTCTGCTCTTTGTCTGTATAATTATCTCGCAGTAAAAGCAAGAAATGATCACATTACTCCCCTGAGTAAACACCACCCTTGTCTCTCATTCCTATGGAATTAAGTTCCAAATCCTGCCAAGGCCCCTACATGTGCCGTTCTCTGCTCTAACACGGTCCCCACGTCCGGGAGCCCCATCCCACTCTGTCTAACTCACTTTTACTTTCCCCCCTAGCCTGGATTGTCTGCAAACCCCTTCATATTCTTTTATTGTTTCGTTTATTACAAACCAGGTCACAGTGCTTTGTTTTTTTGTTTTATTTTTATTGAATTTATTGGGTGACACTGTTAACAAAATCACGCAAGTTTCAGGTAGGTGCACAGTTCTTTAACACATCATCTGTACACTGTATTGTGTGTCCCCAAGTCAAGTCTCCAAACTATTTATCCCCCCCATGCCCTCCTCCCCTGCCCCCAACCCTCTCCCCCTGACACTGCATTGCAATAATTTTTTTTCAAGTACAGTGGGGCCTTGACTTACGAGTTTAATTCCCCCTGACACTGCATTGCAATAATTTTTTTCAAGTATCTCCAACTAGGCTATAAGCAAAGCAGAATGCTGTGATTGTGTCTTCTCATTTTTGGAGTCTCCAAACAAAGTCTGGAGCAGCAATGACATCTGCCACAAAACAGTGGGTAATTATCTGGTGAATAAATGAATGAATTACTGAATGAATGAATGAATGAATGAATAGATGAATAGATGAATGGATGAATAAAGTGAAAAGATCAGGACACCCATCAGAAGCTCTGAGCTTGGACAGAGCTTCCTATACTAGCGATGGGCTGGAAAAGCCTGAGGCAGGAAGCGTTTCTGTGGAAAGCAGCAGGATTTGACAAATGACTAGCTGTGTGACACGGGATTCAGGGGGCACGGATTTCTTCCCCAGAATTTCAGCGGGCCCCCTCGTTAGCCATGAACAAGGGGAAGTGGAGCAGATGGGGAGACGGGAAGAGAAGATAAACGAGCTCTGTCTTCACCATGTTTCATGTGACTCTCAACAGGACTCCACTGCCAGCCTGCGCTGTCAATTCCCTATGGCTTGGAAGGGTTTGGAACTACAGTCTCTGAGTCCGATTTGCCTTTGACCTGGGGAGTTGGTGGCAGGGGGAGGTGGAG